GTGGTTAGGCTTAACATATTGCTCACCCCACATAATATAAACTTTCCTAAACACAATGGAAATATGTTTGTACAAGAAGTAATGTAGAGATCTAGAATATTCTTCGGTTTGGGTTTCATGGGCTTCACTTCATAGACGAGTTTTGATGCCCCACAACATTTGGTACGCAAACTACACGTCCTTGCTCCCCAAGTTATCTCCAATAGAACCGTAGTGTAAATTATATCAATTATAATTACATGCACTGTAAATTATAGAATCGAGCTTGGTTAAAAAAATTATTTCGTTTGGCAGAAAATTTGGATAGACCGTGGTTCGTTTAAATTTGATTCAATATTATTTGGATTTGGTAAAAACAAAAACTGATTTATTAAACTAAATCGACTTGGTATTGTGGGAAGCTTGGTAGATGCAGAGCAAATATTAGGGAGCTTTGAATGAACTGAATACGTGGAAGATAGCTGTTGTTGAGACCAAGATGCTAATATGGGAGCTGCTTCAATCGCCAAAAGGGTTTATGTCCAACACTAGAATATGATCAGTGTCAGAGGAAATATTAAAAAGCTAGCGAATGTTACGAAATGTGAATGTTGGATCCAATTCATCAATCTATTATTTGTGAAATGCAAAATCTGATGTGGCAGCTCGAAGATCGCTCTTTCGGAGGTACTTAATCGTATTTATTTTGATATCCTTAATGATTTTCGCTAATTAATTTATGTTCCATCGATTTTTTTGGATCTTTTTTTTGTGGCCCATTTATTTGTGTCGGTTTTTCTAAAACCCTAGATGTTAATTTTTTATCGACTATTATAAATACACTACCCACTGATTGTGTTCTTGATACCTTTTTTTCGTTTTGCCCTAATTATATCGTATATTTTTTTTCTTTTTGTAGGTTACGTCGCCGTCTTCAAGGTATTATTTTGTTCGTCTTTGTGTTTATGATGTATGATACCCATCATATTGTTTTAGTTTTGTTGTGTATACGTCTATTGTTTAATAATTTTTTTTTTGTTGCTAAGAAAGGTATA